AGGGCTATAATATTTTAGGAACAGCTTCCTTAGACCTTAATGTTTATGAAAAAAATATAAAAAAATACTTCAAAAAATCGTTTTTTTGGAAAATTTTCGGCCTCCCATACTTGTCTTCCTTTAAGGGGGGGCGTGGCAATGGGAATTGTAAATTTGGCAAAAATGTTCAGTTTTTCAATTGATTTTTGTCTACAATCCTGATACCATGTTTTACATCAGTGTGATTTTAGATCAAAATAAGTAGTAGAAGTTGAGAAACAAGCATTTTACTGTTGTCAAAAGCTATGTGAACATTGGGCATAGCAGAACGCAAATGTTCAGCTTTTCCTTGGCAAAGTGCCACCATATTGGCATCATCATAAAAGAGGACAGATTGGAGCTCAAGATGGCCGCAAAGATGCATTTTTTCCACTGAAAAATAAAGCCAGCTCCTTCCAAGTTCCATTTTATGAGTTTCTAGCTCCAATATCTCTGAGCTCCATTTTCTCAGGTTTCGATTTTTGAGCAGTTGCTGTCAGTCATCGCTGTGCCATTTCACAACAGATTAAGCTGTAGCCATTCGATTTCCTGCACTTAGATTCTGAGACGTTGATGAGGGCCGTAAAGCTGTTCATATTTGTGTGCACATCATACAGACTTTTGTAATCGGCTTTTTGTAAAAGTTGTTAGTAAAACAATATGTCCTGGACATTTCAGAAAAATATTTGTGTGCTTACTTAAATGTTAAAAATAAACTAATAGCGTTATGGCACAAAACCCTTGTAAATATCCTTATGCAAAAATTTTGACGAACTTGTGCCTAATTAGATAATTAATTTTGGGGGTGACAATGAGAGTCTATCAAGTGTTGTAACTCAAGTGTTGTAACTCAAGTGTTGTATTAAAAACAGTAAAACCTCGTCGATTCGAACTCGGTTATTTCAAAATCCTGCTTAAACCAAAGTATTTCTGTGGTCCCTTTAATTTGAAGTGGCGGTCAGCACAAGTCTGGTTAATTTAATAATTTGGGTGCAGTGTGCCCATTCTCGATCCCGATTTCGCCGCAAATCCGCGGAAACGACGAACCTTAAGAGCCACAAGGCAATGTACTTTAGCGGTACTAATGAATGGTAGCTGAAGCACCCATGCCTCACTACTTCCAGCACGCGGCCTCGTGATCAACTAAAATATGCGCCTGTGGAAAACAACACACTTCATTGCAATACACCAGTGACGTGTGGGCAGCATGTCGCACGTTTCTCGCAACGTCAGCGCGTCACGATTTATCCATTCTTTCTGGGAAATTAAAGAAATTATAAAGGACAGTCTGGAGAAATCCACAATGTTTGCGAACATCTGAGTGCCAGTTGCTCCAGGAATTTGTGCACTTGCACAGGTGGCGGAGTTCTTGTTTGCAACGCCTACTTTGAAAACTCGGGTCGAAAGCTTCAATGGTGATGTTTTCCTGCGAAAACACATTGCTAATTTGGTCACACTGTCCTTCATTATTAAATTCTTGATTTTACGAGAAAAAAATGGGTGAATGGTCGCATATTTACGCGCTGACGCAGCGAAGGGCAGGCGACATGTTTCCCGCGTGTCACTACTGTGCTGCAGTGAAGATGTCTTGTTTTTCGCAAGCGCGAATTTTGGACGGACTTTTTTTTTTTTTCTGGTTACGGCAGTTAAGTCTAGAATTCCCCCTTGTTTGCGGAAAAACTGTGACCACGTATTGCAGGAAACATGATCCTTAAAGCCACAAACTACCAGCACAGGAAATGACCAACCCGGATTAATTTCAATAATTTCAAGTTCCTTGCATTCCACATTTTGAATGAAATGTTTTGAATGCTCCGTTCATTCGAAAACCCGCTTAATTGAAAGATTTTTCACGGTACCAGTGACTACGAATAACGAGGTTTTACTGTAGCTCAACACCGATTTCAGTTATATCAGCACAACAAATGACACCTTCATGTTAAATTTCATTCCTGTAGTTTCATAAATAAGAAAGATAATTTTCATTGCCACGTCCCCCCTTAAAGCAATCGACAAGCAGCCTGCGTGAAAAGGTTCGACATTGCCAAAACCCTTTTAGGCTGCCACAGTCAACATTCAACAGCATCATCTCGATGCGTGCCGAGATTGAAGGGAATGCCACTCTCTTGGGCCCGAAATTCAAGCAAGCTCGCATTGCCGGTATCAACTTTGACGGCAGCATTTTACATCAGAAGGTAATGGAAATGGCCGACAGACTGAGCCTCACTGATATTGCGACGTCAAATGGCTGGATCGACCATTTCCGCAAGAGGCACGGCATCGCTAACAAAACGATAAGCGGAGTAGCGGCAAGTGTGAACGTGGAAACAGCCAATGATTGAAAGTCCACATTATCTGCTTTCATTTAGGGGTACGGGCCTTGTGACATATACAATGCTGATGAAACAGACCTCTTCTTTCGTGTGCAGCCATCGAAATCGTTAAGCTCAAAGCGCAAAGCGTGCCATGGAGGCAAATGCAGCAAAGACCGGCTGACGGTACTCCTTTGCTGCAATATTGATGGCTCGGTGATCAGGCTTTGGTGCAATGTTGAAGCCGTAGGTGATCAGCAAGTCATGTTGATTGAGAAACATTCATATAGGACATTGAAAGTTTCTTCCAAAAGAGCTGTGAAAGCAGTGCGATCAGTGAGTGTAGAATGCCTATTCATGAGGTATCTTGTGGAACACAACTTTCCACTGAGCACAAGCGATCACGCAGGACCACAGTTTAGAAAAACGCTTCTGAAGTGTGAGGGTGCGGACGCAAAAAACAACCGGCGTTTTCGACAAAATGGCTGCAGATGCCGGAAACAATGCCCGGGCTGAAACGCCATGCTTTTGTAGTCGCTGTGCACGAAAAAAACGACAGCGCGTCGCAAATGACGCAGTCTCAATCATGTCAGATATGCGAAAAAAAATCACTTGCAAAAGAAGTCATCACCTTTTTCTAAAGCATACTGTAAGCAAATCGTGATGTTAACCCTTATTTCGATTTTTGAAAGCCGTTTCAGTAGTTGTGGTGCATTAATATAAGCCTTAAGTATATGTGCAGTAAAACCTGTATATAACGAAATTTACAATTTTTCTGGAAAATGTATTAAAGAAGTTTTTTTTTAATGCAAGTTCAGTATGAAAATTCGAAAATTGAACGCCCAAAATACAGTCGAACATGGATATATCGAACCCACATATATTGAATTTTCGGGTATATAGAAGTTGTAAGTTTTCCCCTTGAGATTCCTTTATAGGAGAATACAAATTCGCATGTTTATATCATACGGTATTTTTACTCCCCCCCCCCCCCTTTCGCAAATATCAAACGCCGTGCGATCTTTGCGGCAGCACAGCTCCGTGCGCGAGTTGGAAGGTGCACTTCTCGCGGCGCCCAGTGACCTCCGCGCGGCACCACGCCTCCACCAAAACCTGACACTTTTTTTGTTTTCGTTTCTCTTTCTCATGTTTTCTCTGCGTACGCATTGGCTCGTAGAGCAGGAACGAAGGAGCCGAAAGCTGACATCCTCCTCCGTTTGCCTTTTTTTCTATTTTTTGTTGCTGTTTCGAGAGTTAGGATCAGCCAAACACAGCTCGCGCCTTCTACTGTTGTCCCTGCGCATGTGGCTATCGCCTCGAGCGCTTCGTTGCTTTCGTTGTCGCATCGCCTACATACCACCACATGTGCAGCATTTCTCTTTTGCGTGCATGGTGCGCAAAGTCTTTGCAGACTCCTTGAATTGCCGACTTCTTGTGTTGCTATGGCCAGCGTCAAGAAGCGCAAGACCCTTGGCTTTGCATTGAAGTTGAAGGCTATTTAGCGTGTTGAGGCGGGCGAGATATGATACAGGTACCGCTGAGCACTCTGAGTACCTTGTTGAAGAACAAATCAGATATCAAGGCAAAGGCGGCAGAGTGGTGATTGTCGGGAGCATGTCATGTGCGGGCTTTCGCCCCTGGTAATGTAGAAAAGGCACCACTCTATGCCTTGTTTTTAAAAGTGTGCACGAAGAACATTCCGGCGAATGGCAGGATGCTGATCCACAAGGCCAAATAGTTTGCTGATGCACTCAAGGAAACCACTTCGCTGACAACACCAGGTGGCTTCACCGATTTAAGCAGCGCTACAATATCGTTGGCAAAACTATTTCTGGCGAAAGCGAAGCTGTCAGCAGCCATGGATGACAAAGGAGTGGCCCAAAATCTCCGCAAAGTTTTCCCCCCGCGGAGATTTTCAATGCCTGGCGAGACATGAAGACGGACACATTGGTCAACTGCTTCTGCAAGGCAGGCTTCGAAACGACGGAACTTGCAGAAACTGGTGAAGACGACGATGACGAGCGCATAGATGACGCCTATTGCGAGTTGTTCTGCTTGTCAGTAGCAGTTCCACACGAAGTTTTTGTGGACATTTTTGTGGAAGTGGGCTGCAATGTCCTTGCTGACGAAGACATAGTAGCTGCGGTCGCAGGGACCCAGAAGGCCCAGGCGACAACTCATGTGATGAGGAGGATTTTCCGGTCGAGGCACTGGTTACACGGGCGTACTCCGTCGCTGAATTGGTAGCAGCGTTTGGCATCATTCACTGTAGTATCGGCCGCATGGAGGGAACTGGGCTGTCTCACCTGGACAGCCTTGATGAGATCGAGACTAGTGTCTTTAACATTTCAAAAACGAAGAAGCAGGAGATCGATTTTTTTTATGCAAATAAATAAGTTGCGGCATCATTCTTGAGTGCGCCTATTGTAGGTGATGATTCGCTGCAGGTAAGCTCTCAGAGCCTGCATCTTTTGTATATCAAATTTTTCATATATTAAACTATTTTGCAATTTCCTTCAAGTTCGATATATCCGGGATTGACTACATATTACACATGTAGTTCTACAAATGCTCTTCACATGTTTATTCTTGTGCAACTCAATTACACACCCTCCCTGTGGGGAAGTGAGGCAGTATGACTAAATAAAAAAATTTTTAAAAAACTTGCAGGGGGACCACGACCTGGAGTGCGGGAGCTTCCCTCCGGGGCTTGAACAATGCGACAGCTGCCGGCACTTGTTGCGCGGCCTTGCGCACCAGGGACTGCTGTGTCGCCAGTGCGGACTGGTGTGCCACCGGTCGTGTGCGGCTACACGAGGCCTGCCGGCATGTCGTCCGCCCGTGCCACGGCCCCGACAGGCTCTGCTCGCACTGTCAGCACTCTGGCGAGACCTGGGGGGCGAACACCCCGGCACCGACGTGCCACCCTTTTTGGCCCGGTGTCTGCGCGAGGCCGAGGCTCTGTGTCAAAAGACGGGGGTTGACCCGTATGAAGTCTATGCCAGCCCTTGCATGCCGGAACGGGTGCAGGAGTTGGCTCTGCGACTGGCACAAGATCCCCACGCCGACCTGCCAAGTTATGACCTGGCTTGCTGGGTGGGAGTCCTGAAGAAGTACCTGCGGGAACTGGCTAGTCCCATCATCCCGGTTCACTTTTACGAACGCTTTCTGGAAGCAGCAAGTGAGGGCACAAAAAGATGGCTTGGCAAAACTTTTCTAGGGCTAGTTGGTTTATACCTCCTCGTACAGTTTCCTATAAGTACACTAAAGATAAATCATAGAACTGCAACGCATGGTGCTTCAGCCAGCATGATAATGATGAGTAGTACACAGATTAAGCTTCATTCTTTTGGCTCCATTTGGCTCCGCGAGGCCTGGAGACCGTTTGTCGCAAGAGGGAGTTCAGAACCTTGTCATATTTAGGGCTGCCTATTCAAGTCGGCTCACGAAGTTTACGATGATCCATTCTTTTATTTGATACAAAACACAACGATAAACAAAGCCATGAGTGCATTCAAACCATGAGCTTGAAGACTATACAGTCTAAGCCCGCTACAATGAATTGAGGGGCCTCGAAAAAAATTTCGTTGTAGGGAAAATTTCGTTGTTGTGAAATGGAAAAATATAGCTGACTTGAGCTAGCAATACGACGGAACTTTTATTCCTGAAATTCAAAAAGTGTTGGCTGCTTTCTTTTCGTTGCCAGCAACATCTCGACGTGATTCTCACATATGCATAGCGATGCCATGCTTAAAAGCATGCTGAATAAATGGCCATGACGACTTTCGTGAATGAATTTAGCAGTTTCACTAACACCCTAACACCAGCAGCTGTCTGCCATCACATGGTATTCGACAACGCTGAGATAGAAGCGTGGTATCGGGGAGTAGGGACTTATGCGTATTCAATGCTGTTTGATCATCCACTAGTCGCAACAGGCTGATTTTGTTGATGCTTATGTACCAGCACCTCCCTGTAAACATTTCTAGCTTTGTCCACACCTGGGAGCGATAAACGACAGAGTAGGAAGCCGTCACCTAAAAGGCAATAAGTAAAATGTATAGCTGTTAGTGAGCGGCAAGCGGATGTCATTGGCACTACGAAATCGAGCACACTCACGCACCACCGCATGTACGAGCGGCAGTCTGTGCTACAACATGAACGAACGGAGAGTAAAAAAGCAATACAAGATTAGTCAAGGAAAAGAATGCATTGTATCCTCAAATGTTCCCAGCTCTTGCTTACTCGGCCAGAACGAGTCGAAATACAGCCGAGGTTTGATTGTTCAGTCCCTCAAGAAACTGGGAAAACATCGGAAAAATCTGGCAGTTAAAAAAAAACGAATGCAAGCCAAAACATACTTTTTTAATACCGTGTTTGCTTGAATCCACGCCGACCTTAAGGGGAACACTGTACTTGAGAAGAAGTGCCAAATATTTTTATGTGTGTTGTAGCACCGAAAGGCGGGCGAGTTGGAACTTATCCATAGTGGGCAGCGCACAAAAGGAAACACACAAGAGAAGGAATCAGGACAAGCGCTGGTCTAACAACTGAAAGTTTTATTTGAAAGAAAGCATATATATACATGTGTACACAGAAAATCAAGTGCTACGCAAGATTACTTCCGATCAATGAAACCAATCTCCTGTTCAGATAAAGAAACAGATGGCTGGCTAACGCAAATGCCAACACTCTTCGCCATGTGGTAAGCCTCAGCAATCTCACGTGTCCTTTGATTATGATGGCGGTCGATGATTGCGGTTTGCTCAAAAGAAGGAATACAACCGCAATCGCGGCAATGGCTGGCGAGGTGAGACAGAACCCCACCCTTTAAAGAATTTTCATGCTCCCGTAGCCTAATATTAATACATCTACCGGTCTGTCCTATGCAGACACTCCCGCACGAGCAAGGAATTTTATAGACTACCCCGGTCGAACATGCGGTATACTTCTTAACGTGCTTGATTGAACAAGTGTTATCAACCGCCCTCGTAATTCCCTTAACGCGTCTATGAATCTTGCCACATAAGCTACCCAATTTATTCCCACTTGAAAAAACAACGTCAACCCCATACTGCCCCCCAACTTTCTTTAATCTATGTGACATGGAATGTACATAGGGAATCACTGCCAAACGCTTTTGCTCGCGTTGAGAGGTTGCTGGTTGGTTGGTGGGCTGCGCGTTACTATTTACTTTCTTTAGCAAACGCTCGGAAGCAGAAACGAGAAAGGCGGTGGGAAAACCCGCTGTCTTAAGCCGATCACACTGATTACGAAAGCTTTCCTCTGTGGCATGGAAACAAGATTTTGCGACAGCTGCGTGAAGGCATGAAGTGACTATACCATTTTTTACCAGTTTAGAATGAGCAGATTTAAAGTTTAGGAGGGGTTTTGCCGACCTGGGAGCGTATAACCAACAGACATGCGCATCCTGGAATCGCAATGTTAGGTCAAGGAACTGAAGCTCATTCTTTTCATTGGGAACTTCACACGTAAACTGAAGACCCTGCCCCCTTTCCCTAAATGCCTTGAGAATGTTCACCTTATCATGTAAGCTACTAACACTATCCAAAAAAACCAAGTAATCATCCACATACCTAAATATACGAGTCCCCCAACCCTCAAAATCTCTTTCTAGATCGCGATCAATTCTACTCAACAATATGTCACTTAGGACCGGGGCAACTCTGGAACCTATGCATACACCTGAGGCCTGAACAAACAAATCCCCTTGCCAAGAAACAAAAGTAGAATCAATCAGCGCACAAAAGGAAACACACAAGAGAAGGAATCAGGACCCAGCGCTTGTCCTGATTCCTTCTCTTGTGTGTTTCCTTTTGTGCGCTGCCCACTATGGATTTTTATGTGTTTATGAAGATCTCAATCAAAAATTCACACCTACCATTGTGTACAGCTGCATGTCGCTACAAAAATGACAGTCCTAGCAGCTCTGGAGGCAGAGATATCTTTTAGAGAAGTTTGCAACTACAGCAAAATTTGAATCCTAAGACATCATGCAATAACACAACTCCATTTTGGGCAGACGGTAGCATGGCAAAGCTGTTTATTTACAATGATTTGCAAATTCAGCTTTTTTAGTAGCCACCAGGCATGTAGTCCTTCTGTTTTGCATCACCTAAATGACGTTTTTTCAATGCCCGCTGCATGTTTTCCGCAGAAGCACACTTGCAAGCTGATGCGTCGCCGTAGGCTCGTCTGCCAACTAGGCCGGTTATGAGTTCGGTGACGCCTATGTGCGACGAATGTGCTTGCGTCATCCGCGATCCGTCGTATGATACAGCAATGTTTTTTGGCTTGTCCAGATTGAGTTGTTGATGTCGCAGACCGAACTCGCGCACTCGCTTATCGATTTCAAGGCTGCAAGAGCAGCGAGGTGTTAGTTTCCTTTTCACGTAAGATTGCCACATTTTAGAGTGGAGGCCGCGGCGCTATATGTTCGTTGCGGACACGTCGTTACAAGCACTCTACCTGCTGCCAGTAGCCTCCTTTGCACGGGCGGCGAGCACAATCACCGTAAACGCATTGATTTTCTGTAGTTTGCGACGCGTGGTGAACTCCACTCTGACGACCCGTCACGCAGTTCACCCGCAAACGAGGTCGTTTCGTCAGACGGGGGAACCCGCGGCATCGGCGCGTTTAGCAATAAGACTGCGCTTCTGTTCCATCGTTGCAAAGATTGCTATCTCTCGTAGCTTCACTTCTGCTTTTTTTACTTGCGGCGCTGCAACTGTTGAGGGCTCCAAAACCTGGCTGCTTTCAGCGACGTTGTCAACAACCGACGGGTGTGTACATGAGTGAGGCCTACACCGGTGACTCAGCGACCGCCGTTGAACGCTCCAAGTTTGTTATCCTCGCTGTCCTGAGCCATAGCGGGGCTCTTCCTGAAGTTCACAGCGAATGAACGATCGCCACACCCGCTTCACAAATTAGTGTTTCGCAGAACTTCCTTACTGCGACAGGCAGTCGACAGCACCATGACAAAATGGCGCATGTCCGTGCGCGTCAGGAAGGAGAAGCAGACGCCGGAAACGCCACTTGGCCAATCGGATGCCTAGGTTTTGTCACGTGCCCCAAGCAGCCAATAGAATCGTGCGGTGGTGCTTCTCGATGATGCATTGTTGCTGAAAAACCAATGAGCAAGGCGAGCCACCGGTGGCGGGAAATTGAATATGAAGAACTGCCCTTTTATACGATACCAAGATGACCACGATAGCTCGTGTGTAAGGGCAACGGTTTGGCGTGGAAAAAGCACGATTTTAGTGTCTATTTGTGCTCAGATTCATCTCACAGAGGTGTTATAAGTTGATTTTGTGCCAGAAATAATGGCGCGGGAAACTAGAAGCTTCTCAAATAAGTGCAAAAATAGTTGCAGATTCCGAAAATGTCCACTTCAAAATGTCGATTTTTTTTGCGATTTTCGACCTTTCAAGACCCGTGTCCCCCTTTAATACTAAGTTGACTGCCAAAAGTCTGAAGCCCGGCAAAAAAAAGAAAAGAAAAACGTCCTCGAATGTAGGCCAAGTGAAGCACAGAAGACAGTGTTCACAAAGAGAAAACGTCTATTGAACGTTAAGATGAAACAAAGCAGTTGGTGCCTGATGCAAATAACTCGATAAACATACAGCCGCTAGTCCTTTTGTGCTTCCTTGTCATCATTTTTTTCGTAGTACCTCTAATTATTCGTATCATAAACGTGCCGCCCTCATTCCAAGCAGAGGTGTTCTTCCGAGTCGTCGTCGCTGTCTTGAAAGAGTAGGCAATCCTTGGTGCCATCAAGCGCATTGAGTATGTTGCACTTCTTAAAAGAGCGCACAAAGTTTCTGGGATGTCATTCCACGCTGCAGCCTCTTCGGTGATGCATATTTTTTGTCATCCACTTGAAACTCATGCCTGGGTTGAGCGTCGGACAACAACTTCACGACTAGGACAACTTTCCTTTTATAAGCAGCACTAGAATGACACCCCCTGTCTCGCACCATCTAGCTCCGCCACACACAGACCACCTGAAGTGTGACTTGAAATGCCAAACGGCTCGCTTCGGCACTGTCCACAAACTGGCGGCCTCACGTGTGTGCCACGTGTTGGCTAGGCTTCTAAGGGCTACAACACTGTCTAGGTGGTGCTCATTGTGCACCACTCCTCGATATGGTGGCTAGAAAA